CCCTGCTCCACTTCATTTATGTCTAAGTTGTGTTTTCTTTCTTACTTTCACTGCCGGAAGTTAATTTATTTTTAATATATGACCTCTTTTATGTTCCCGGTGGTGTCATTCTTTTTGCTGGGAATTTATTTTTTCCCTTGCCTTTTTTACATTTTAGGGTGTTAAATTAAGTCATTTGATTTTCTTCTCTCTTGTTCAGTTCTTGGTAAATGTGAATGTTTGTCCTGATTAGGGTAAAGGAAATGTTGAGTGAAGAAGCAAGTAGAAAAATGCTAGATTAAAGAATGAAGTACTAAACAGAACGTACACACAGAGAGTAAAAAATGCATTTTCATTATACTGTCTCATTCCATCCACACAGATTCACACAAGATGTGGAGAAACAGAAGGAAAATCAATAAGAGATTCAACAAAGGCTTCACTTGCATTCGTAAACAGTCAAACATGTTTATTCAAAGTGATAAAAATGTAAAATAGCATCTCGGGGTTGGGGGGCAGTTTAAAAGGTCGCATTATTTAAATGCCAGTTGATGAAATAAATACCACTAAATAAGGTTTTCCTGCCTCGGACAAATATCCGTTCGATAAGTTGACGTAACATTAGCTTGTTTAGAAGCTAAAGCAGGTTGGCTTATGTCTATGAAGATTCTCAGTCATCCAGGTCATGGTCACGGTTGAAGAGTTCCATTAGGCAACTAGATGTAAAATTTGCTCAAGAAAACGTTTCACCTCTCATCCAAGAGGCTTCTTCAGTTCTAACTGGTGGTGGGGAGTACAGGAAATATATACTCTGGGTGTGACAAAGAATAAAGCTACTTCAGGTGTTGAGTGGGCCGTTGGTTCAACTGGGGAAGTGTTAACAATTGTTAGGAGTTTGATGGGTCGTTGTAATCCACATAGCCAAGTCACAGGACTTCTCCAACAAGATAAGGGAACTAAAACTGGACACGATGATGAGACCATGGTTTCCTATGATGTCACATCACTTTTTACATGCATCCCCACCTCAGAGGCAATAGCAACAGTGAGGATGCGCTTGCTTCAAGATCACAGTCAAAATCAAGGTCCATGAGGTCGACAACTTCACAGACCACATCAATGCAGTGGACAGGAACATCAAGTTCACCAGAGAAGATGTGAAAAACAACAGTCTTGCTTTCCTGGACTGTGCGGTTCACATCACAGGACACAGACACCTCAACATAGAGGTATACAAGAAACCAACTCCGACCAGTATCTCCGTTTTAAATCGTACCACCCACTGGAGCACCAATTAGGAGTCATCAGAACCCTACAGTCACCATGACAGACACCATTCCCACCACCAACAGAGCTAAGATGAGAGAACAGGGACACATTAGGACAGCCCTCAAGACCTGTGGCTATCCCAGATGGGTTTTTTAAAAAGAGGCCCACAAAGAGGAAGGACAACAGGAGGAGGGATGTCGTCATTCCACACATTTCAGGAGTTTCAGAGAAACTTAGGAGGATCTTTAACCAGTTTCATATACACTTCAAACCTAGTAATACCCTGAGACAAAAACTGGTTCATCCCAAAGACAAGACTCCTAGGAACAAGCTGGACAATGTGGTTTGTGCCTTTCAGTGCAGTGAGGAGTGTACTGACCTGTACATTGAGGAGACCAAACTACCACTACACAGGTACATGGCCCAACACAGGAGGGCCAACTCCTTAGGACAGGACTCAGCTGTTCACATACACCTCAAGGACAAAACACACTCCTTTGAGGACAACAACGTTCACGTTTTGGCCAGGGAACCCACATATAAGGCTCTTTTAGGAACAATACACAAACGATTTTCCTCAGTATCACACCCTTGTGACCGTAACCACTCTGATGAGGATTGCAACTACCCATAGACTCCTAACGACTGTTTACACTTCCCCAGTTGACCCCAAGGCCCCACCCAACAGTAGCTATATTCTTTGTCACACCCAGAGTATATATCTGCTGTACTCCCCACCATCAGTTAGAACTGAAGAAGCATCTTGGATGAGAGGTGAAACGTCTTCTTTAAAAAAAAAAAATCACGTCCAGCTGCCTAACGGAACTCTTCAACCTATGTTAATGTACGAATCTCATTTTCTTTTCTCATTTTAAACTGTCAATCAACGGAACACCGCGTCACATGGATTTTTCTCGTTCAGCCCACATGGGAACACCGTAAACTCCATGGTCAAAATACTACTGGAACAGTTTCAAACGTACCGGCTTTAGGGCTTTGAAGTGATCCATAGGAACCGGCTCCCTTTTTCTCCA